TCTTAACAGTTGAATGTCACAAAACCTGGTCACATTTCACCCCAAAATCAAAGAGAGAATTTTTTTTTTTTTTTTACATTATTTACATGATAATTAAGTGGTGGTGCAGTTACTTAAAAACAAAATACAGGTACTTAAAAATAAAATACACTTCCTGGCCAAAAAAACAAAAACAAAAAACAAGTCGCTGTTTGGATTTAAATAGGCGAATACTTAGGAGTCTATGATTGTGTCATTATTGCAGTGATTATCATGTTTCTATCATGTTATATGTTTGGCAACAGTTCTTCTAACCCCAATTGATGGAGTGTGTGGCTTTTCATTTCTTAAACAACCATGTAGGAAGACACTTCATGGCCATATTCCAGGATGACAATGTCAAGATTCATCACAGGCTCAAATTGGGAAAGAATGGTTGTGAGGGAGCATGAAGAATCATTTTCACACATGAATTGGCATCTCTGAGACCTTAAATTCATTGAAATTCTTTGGGATGTGCTGGAGGAGACTTTACAGAGTGCTGGACTCTTGGACTGTCAATACAAGATCCGGACCAAAAATGGAATCTAAAAATGGAAATAACATCACAACATTTATTTCAAAGGTTTCCTGAACGCTCAAAAACAGATGCCATGTTCTGAAACTTTCACAGACCCAATGTTTTTCAGGGTAATCAACCTTTTTTTCACATTAAGCTGCGATAGGAGAAAGTGTTTTAGTATTATACTTTTAGTAGTTTTAAAATTGGGAGAAATATGCTGATTTATTTTAACTTCAGTGAGATAAAGATGGAGATAAAAGGTTTAGTCACAAGCTCTTGGTTAAATAATTGCAAAACCCACAGAGGTAAAGGGTAACCAATTGTAATGATTTATGAAAAAATATAACAATGACAAAATATAGATCGAGATGCAAGGTTTCCGCCCGACAGCAACGATAATACATAAGTTGAAGATGTTTTATTTTCTTTTAGTTTTGGGGTGAAGTGTGACCCATTTACATGACATGTTTCCATGAGATTCCACCCTAACAGTTATTGTTAGTGAACGTTTATGAATGAAAAGAGGAACTTCAGTGAGACCTGTGGTCAACGGCTATGACAGCTGTTTGATATCTAGCATGGCAATAAATAGTAGAGCTACCCTGTGTGTGTGTGTGTGTGTGTGTGTGTGTGTGTGTGTGTGTGTGTGTGTGTGTGTGTGTGTGTGTGTGTGTGTGTGTGTGTGTGTGTGTGTGTGTGTGTGTGTGCGCGCCTGAGCTTTAATAATATGTCTTTGATCTCTGGGGGAATCCTCCCTTGTCCTCCATCTGCCACCAATCATAGCCGATGACAGAGTATTGATTGAGAAAAGGTTTCCATAGTAACAGGCTCTTGGGTGTGGTCTGATATATGTTTTATGCAGAGTTTGGGGGGGGGGGGGTCTTTGATAAAATGTAATAATATAATAATATTAAACCTACACTCTAGAATAAAACATCAATAAATAAAGAGTTATAGTGTTCCCGATAATACAGCAAATATCATCAAGATCTCATACAATAATAGCCCTGAATGTATGTGAGCAAGCGTGTTTAATTATATTAGATAATACTTTATTGTCCACTATACTGTGGGAATTTGTATTTGGCTTCACAAACAAAACTATATAAGAATAAATTAAACATTATGACAAGAAAATATAGTATGACAAAGAAAATCAGTGTCCTTTCAAATAAAATAGATTATGCATAAATAGAATAGATTAAGTAAATAATTTTGTGGGATTTATTTTCACATATTAATTAGGCTACACTAGTCACACTGTTTTATGTTTTATTTTATAGAAATACAAAATACTAAAACAAAACGTTTTTTTTTTACATTTGCAATGCCCACAGTTAGACAGACTAAATACCTGGAAAATCATAACTTATATTGTGATTTATAAAAACACAATCTTTCTTTGGGACCAGAATTGGTGGGGTGCTCATATTTTGCTCATTTATATTCACATTTTTCAAAAGAAAACAGAAAATAGAATCTAAAATAGAAATAAAAATGTGAAGCAAACTTTGTGAGATCTCTAGATTTTCTTTATGCATAGATTGTTTTACTAAGGATTGATTCACTACCAAATAAATGATGAAAAGTACTATGGTTAAAACTGTTTACATGATGTTTAAATGATTTTAAACACAGTCTGCTGATTAATTATATTGGTTATACATGCACTCTTTTTGATGTTGTGAATCAAACCCCTGACCTTGGCATTTTTTGCATCTTGCTTTTCCTGTTGAGCTACAGAAATGCAGTCTTATCTGATGCCATGGTGTTGGCATGACAGGCTTGTTTAGCCAGTGTGTTTCCAGTCCATACAATCGGCGCTTCAGTCATTTTTATGAGAGTTTGTGCGCGCTAGTGACCTCTGCATGACTGCATCGCTTCCATCAGCGGCTCATCCTGTCGTTCACTAAAAGAGAGGGATTCTTTTCTCTCTGATAATACAGAACAAAAGAGCTGTTGTCAGTAGATCTGGATTAGCTTTTTTTTGTGTTTCCGTGTGTGTGCACAGAAAGACAGAGCGAGAGAAAGGGAGGAGTGGTATCAAGAGATCAATGAATGAGCGTCTCCAAAGCTGCATTACTGTAAGCTTTGTAAACAGCGTTCTTCCTTTTGCCTGTGCTTTTAAGAAAGAGGAAACCATTCACACCCCCGTACATCAACACACCGTCCCACACACACTGCACACATTCCTGTTAGGCTGACACAGCGGGTTAGTGGATGTATAAACATTACACACCAGGATGAAAAGAGAGATATGAGCAGCTGAACTGCCGTGGAAATGCTTTTTTCCCCCCTCTTCTTTCTCTCTGTTGGGAATCTTCTACATGTGCTCGTGGCTCTTTTAGGCATCAAACTAATTAAAGCGTGCAATAAACAGTCCTTATTGTTTCAAAATCTCATTGCCTTTTTAAATGTACTCTGTTTAAAATCTAAACTGCTGCTGAGCCTGTGTTAATACTCGGAGATCTCAAAGGGGCCATATCAGAGAAAACAGGATTTTTCTTGCTTTTTTAAGACACAAAGTATTACATTTCAGCGCATAACACACCCTGCACCGTTTACACTACGCTCATGAATAATTCTGCAAATCGTGTGGCTTGTTGAGGAGAGCGTGAGGAGAGAGTGATTCAAAAAGATAAAAAATCCCTAGGGAGGGACCCTAGCCATATAAAGACTTATGGTAGTGAACACCACCCAGAACACCTTAGCGACACCCTGGCAACCATCCACAATTATCTACAAATGTGATAGATTTTCATATTATCTTCAGAAAATACAATTAATTTGCAAACCTTCAGGCTTCAAGTATATGTGATTGCCCACTTTTGCATATCAATGCCTTTTTTTTAGCATTCACTAACTTGAATGACAGAACAGAACTATGCTTATATGGGGAAGTCATTTACAATTTAAAGTAATTTAACTGCTAAAGCAAATGTTATAAAAAAATGAAAAGAAACCTTTAATTTACAATAATATTTGGGGGAAAATGTTCAAATAAAAATGCGGTTATACACTTTATTTTAAGGTGTCCGTGTTAAAGTGTACTGAAGGAAGAGTAAAGAGTACTGATTAATAATTTATTGGTTTAGGTTTGGTTTAGGGTTAGCATAATTATGCATAATTTAAAGTTATTACTATAGTAACTTTATGTAACGTGTAACAAGGACACTGTACAATAATGTGCTACCAAAAATGCCACTGGTTCATTCTAGCTCACTGTACGTCAATGTCATTTTCTTGTTATTCACATAGGGGTTCATGATTGTTGCTCTATCAGAGGAGAGATCACAGTCTTGTCATCGACTACCATAAATCAAAGGAGGGATGTTAAACTCAGTCTGTTTCCCTGTCAGTCACGGGCCTCTGTTTAAAGGTCTTTCTCTTTTTTTCTTCCACATTCTTCCAGGGCAAAAGCCCCTCAGTGTCTTTTAACCTTTGACTGCTCAGAGATTGTGCCTCTATCCCTGAGATGAACCTTTGGAGTTATAAACAAAAGCAAGACATGAAAAAAAGCTACCGGCTGTCCTCTCTCTTTCTCCCTCCTGTTACCCGTACTGACTGGTTACCCTATTTATTATTTTTCGTCTATTTCAACTGAATTTGAAGGGGTTTGTCTTTCTTCATTTGATCAGTACTTGGTTGCTTTATGGGGGTTGTTCATGTCCCATGATTGACAGGTGACAGACAAAGTGCAATGTTAAAACTACTTGTATATCTTCAAGGGAAGAACTAATGGGAAAAGCAAAAACATCCCTTTTGAAGCATACAGAACAGTCTGAATCTGAGCCTTCAGAATGAATTTCTTGCTTTGACCTTTAGAACGCCTGTCAAGTTAGAAGGCTGAAACCTCAGTATGTTCACCTCATAACTGATACTCCCCATAAATCCTTTGAAATATCTATATGATTTACTGAAAGGGCTCTCTTGTGTGACTAACATTTAAATTGTTGACCATGAAGACCACTAACATTCATAAAAGTCTCATATTTATGTTAAGTGTATATACGCTACCGTTCCAAAGTTTGAGGCCTGTATGATTTTTGTAAATAAATAAATCCTTTTGTTCAACAGGATGCATTAATTTGTTTAAAAATATGATAAATACATCTACTGTGTATAATGTTACAAAAATATGAAATACTTATATTATATATATATATATATATATATATATATATATACTGTACAGTATTAAGCAGCACAGCTGTTTTCAACATTGATAATTATTAGAAAGGTAAAATATTTTCTTGGAATATTGCTAAATTTAATGCAAACCTTATCAGTGGTGACAATGTAAGTTTGGAATGCTAGACAATAAATGTTTTTGCAGATTTTGTATTATTTGCTTTTAATGCGTTTCTATTTTTCTCTGGTTCTCTGAGACATCCTCTCGTCTGTCCCTGTTGTCCTTGATAATGGGCACAATACTAATGTCTGTTTACACCCTCCACAGCTCTCGTCCAGGCCGCCCACCAAAGCGTTCCTATGGGGCCAGTGCACAAGAAAGCCCCAGAATCCTTCACCACAGAGCAAACAGCCTTCTGTCTCCAGCCCTGCTGTCACCCACAGGTAAACCCAACCGTACACGCACCCGGCTCGCTTTTCACCACGTTCAGTGCACTGTAAATTTAGATGAGCCTCAATTTACTCACTCACAGCCCCCTTCAACACATATGAAAAGTATATGCTTAAATCACTCCCTCCTCTGCTGTCCTTCTGCTCATCTTTCATTCTCTCTCCCTTTCTGCCGCTCTGTTCGGTCATCTTTCATGCACCTTCTTTTACGGGTGACAGTGATGAATGACACACCCCAGCGGGATCACTCATCCATCTGTTCATCCCTCTTTATTTCCCTCTTCCTCTCACTGGCCAAAAGCCTCACATTCCCCGTCCTCTCTTCTCAAATCTACTGTATCACATTGGGAAGGGTGGATGCTAAAAATGTGCTGAAATTCGCCCAAAGAAATGTCTCATTTCCGCCAGAATCAGGGGTGTAGCAGTCATTATACCTGGAGGGGACATGTCCTTCCCACTTTCAGACAGTTGTGGCTTATTTTCAGGAAGAAAAAAAAATGTATTCTAAAATTATAGAAAATCTGGAAAGTGTAATTTATATATTTTTTGGTCATTTAAAAAAGTAACTGCTGAATTGTAAAGGAATCCCACCTCAGATCCAAAGTACCTTGGCATTAATCACAATAAACATAGAATTTTTTAATCCTGCAGGTGGTTATACAAATAATTATGTGTCATATATATATGTATATGTATATATGAGTGTGTATATGTATATATTAGTGTGTGTATATATATATACACATGCATTAACATGATTTGTGCCACTGTTACATTTTATTTATTATTAAAATAAATATAATATTTTTAATAATATTTTAATAATTATTTAGATTTATTTTAGTATTGTTTTTGTTGTTGTTACAGGGTAAAGATCAGAAAATAATTAAATACCATTACACCACAGCAGTGTTTTTTAGTATTGTTTGTATACTATTATAGTATTTAATACTATTTTTAATGTTTGGATTTCATTTTTATATTTTTAGTTTTCATTTTAATTAAGTTATTTAGCTAGAAAAGTTTGTCATTTTATTACGTTTTTTTAATTTATTTAGTTTAAATTTGTTTTTGTTTTTTTTATTGGTCATTTTAGTACCTGACCTTATTTTATTTCAGTTAGTTTCAATTGACAAAAACAATTTTTAAAGCTGTATTTGTACTTTTAGTTAACAATAGCAAAACTGGCACCAGACCACATTATCTACACAGTATTTTTTCCCCTATAACTGAGTGGAATTATTTAGCTTGATGAGGCCAATACAAGTAAACAGTAAAATAATTAGCCTTATTCCACTGTGGTCAAAGTAATAGCACAAAAAGAACCCCCTTACAATCTCTCACACACACACACACACACACACACACACACACACACACACACACACACACACACACACACACACACACACACACACACACACACACACACACACACACACACACACACACACACACACACACACACACACACACACACACACACACATTGATGCACCTATTATTATGAAGACACTCCATAGGCGTAATGGTTTTTATACTGTACAAACTGTATATTCTGTCCCCTTTCACTAACCATACACCTAAACCTACCCATCACAGAAACATTAATTAATAAAACATGTTTAGTATGTTTTTTATGCCATTTTAATTATGAGGATTCAGGAAATGTCCCCACGTTTACTTAGTATTACCAGTGTAACACCCGTGTCATTGTACAAGTCTTTGTCCTCATAAATCATAAACAGTCACACACACAAAGTTGTGGGGTCACCATGGAGGATGCGCTAGACTGTGCAGTGATATTCTGCCATGTTTGAGCAGTTACCGTGGAGATGTCACTTACAGTCTTGGCATCGTCAAGTGCCAGATGTCAGGACTCGTTAGGAATGAGAGTAGGGCAGTTTGCTTTAATTTGCCAAGTGCTCAGTCATTGTTTAGAGCTATGACAGTAAGGTAAAAAAAAACATGGTGCCATCAATTGAGTGAATCAATGATTCTGTTCTAACAGCAAGATACAACAGGCCAGCAAACACAGTGGAGACATGACAGTATTTTGCTTTGCGTTTTGGTTTGCTTCCATATAAGAAAATCAGAAATGTATTTAATATCTCAATTAGGATGCTTCTCTGATTGTTTGCCTGAAAAAGAAAAAACAGAGTAATCTCTTATATGTTTCTTTAGAGCTTCAGAAGTGATCTCAACAATTTCTCAAACTGTGTTCAGGTTTGCCAAAAATACTGTGCAATCAAATGTTTGGAAGCTTGTTTCTGCCACATAATAAAATTGCAGAATCTTAATTCTGACTATTTTTTCTTGCAATTGCAAGTTTATATCTCACAATTCTGAGGGGATAAAAGTCAGAATTCTGAAATTTAAAAAAATCCCAATTACCTTGTGTATTTTTTTTATTCAGTGGCGGAAACAAGCTAATATTTCAATATGAAACATTAAAATATATATATATATATATATATATATATATATATATATATATATATATATATATATATATATATATATATATATATATATATATATATATTTATTGAATGACCAGCTATACTATATAGGCTAGTAATTGCCTCAAGATTTTCTTCTGGGATCTGAGGATGGATTTTGTTTCTGAAAGATTGGTAAGTAAAATTTGACTTTGACATTCATTTAAATCTTTTATTTTCATATTCTCTAATCTCCAACTAGTGCAAAATGGCCTCGTTGGCATGTTTTGGAATTTTTGGGATTGTTTATGACAGAATGACAGACAGCAGGGGGTTGTGCCAAACGAGTGAGGAGAGGAGAGGAGAAAATACAGTTTTTGATTTCCATATAATAGGTTAAAAGAAAACAGTCAATTTAACAAAATTAACATCTAACAAAAAAACAAAATTTCCTACTGTTATCGATGTTGAAAACAGTTTTTGTTGCTTAATATTTTTGTAGAACCTGCATAAATTTTTTTCATGATTCTTTGATTAATAGAATTAATGATCAAAAGAACAAAATTTATTTGAAATAGAAATCTTTTGTAACACTGTAAAAGTCTTTATTGATATTGATCAATTTAATACATACTTGATGAATAATGTATTCATTTATTTAAAAACAAAAATTGAGTACATGTACAAGTATATGCCGGCTAATCATTCTCTCACTGTCTGGAATATTTCACCCAAAAAATGAAAATTGTCGTTCCAAATTCTATGATTTTAAACATGAAAATCAAATGGAGATATTTAGCAGAATGTCCCAGCTGCTCTTTACCATAAATCAAAATTGACTGGTGAATTACATAATTGCAAAGCTCCAGAAAATGACAAAAAGTACCATAAAACTTAAAAAAAAAAGTATGATCTGAACTATTCTCATGGTGTGTGGCTGTGACCTCTGGTGCACCATTAGAGTTTAAGGAATAGAATTCCTCCCTCAGGACAGTCTCACTTCACATGAACGAGCGGTTTCCTTCTTGTCAAACAGCTTACGTAACTCAACTCAAGTCTCTGAAGATTATTTTCCCGTTAGCCCACAGTGAAGATCATGCAACAGTCAGCGTTTACATAGAGATATTGAAGTCACGATTAGCCAAGCAGTCAATGCTCTCCTAAGGGAATATGCCGGTCTGTACTTGTGTCCATGTGCACGTTAATGGTCCATTGTTTTTCTCCTTCTCGGCAGTCAGCATCACCTGCACTTTTCTTTTCCTTTGTCACAATCGTGACCTTGTCAAATGCAATACACACGCTCACCCGAACACATATGCAAAAATATACAGGCACACACACACACACACCATCACATGCAGAGTGGACATCTTTAGAGTTGCAGGGCCGCCGCGTGTTGAAAAATCTGAACTATAATGAGAGAGGCAGCAATTCTAACATCAATCACTTGTCCAGAGCATTGACCGTCTGTCACTAATCAATACTTTTTTTTTTTATGGTATCCAGGGTAACCAAGGCCAGAGCTCTCAGGCTGGCTAATTGCTGGTAGTAGGAGGAGTTCAAAGTGATTGATTGGCAGATGGCTATTTCTTGGACGACTTCCATGATACGCTCTCTGTCCAGCTAACAGAGAGTTATTTCGGGTCCCTTATCGCACTGCGACCCTCCAGTTGCTCTGAATAAAACTCTGCTGATGACAACATCCGTTCACTGTCAACTAAGGAATTTATTGCTGTAATTTTGAGTCTAATGTGCTTCATAAATAGCACATCTCTATAGCAGCCTGAAACCAGTATATTAAGATATTCAAGACCAAAAAGAGAAGCATATTTTTTTAAACTTTTAAATAGCAGTATATCAGACACTGAAGACTGGAGTAAGGATGCTGAAAATTCAGCTTTACAATCACAGGAATAAATTACATTTTAATATATATTAAAACAGAAAAAAGTTATTTTAAATTGTAATAATATTTCACAATATTACTGTTTTTACTGCATTTTTTTTATCAAATAAATGCAACCTCGGTTAGCATAAAAGACTTCTTTCAAAAACATAAAAAAATCTTCATTATTACAAACTTTTGACCAGTAGTGTATATACAGTATAAAATAGAAGCTTAGAGTATGTTGTCTTATTGCATTTTTGTAGCATTTAATTGTAGAAAATCTTGGCAAATCTGAGCTCAGTTTGAGATATTGTTTAGATCTCAGCTGAAACTGTTCTGAAGACACATGTGAGTTTACTCTCACATGAAGCAGAAGTGCCTCCATTCGATTACATCATTGCTGCGTGGGAGAAACAAGTGAGATGTGAGTGTTTTATGTACTCAGTTATTCGTGATGTTATTGTATTGCAGGTCTAACAACAATGGCTGAAGCTTTGAAGATACAGAAGATGAAGATGATGATGACTCTACACAAGGCCCATAATGGCTTAGAATTTGATTCAGATGAGCTCAACTCTAATACAGATACAGGTATGGTGTGTGCGTTGTCACTATTTGTTTGTTAAAGTGTTGTGTAAAAGGCAGCTTGTTTAAAGTGCAATCTGTAGATGTGCCAGACAGATGGCCTTGCAATAGTAACCTGGGTCTTTTGGTTGAGATGAGCCCCATCACAGAGCTCGCTCAAGGGGCCCATGTTGCAGGGCTGTGCTTGGTTTACAGAGACTAATGGTGACATTAATGACTGCTGCCTGACTGTGCATTTAGAGAAGACCAACAACGGACAGGAGAATAGTTAATCGTACACCAGCCTTAGAGATGAAACAAGACATTTGGTGCAGAGGTGCTTGTGTTTGTGCGTAATATGCTGTGTTATATATGCACAATATTTGTGTGTTTCTATGCATAAGAAGATACATCATTTGTGGTTTTATGATTTTTATATTGATTTTTAATTTGATTTAAACTAGATCTAATAATACACATTTATTTTTATTTAATTATATTTGTTTTGTCTAAATATATTTATATCCATATTTCTCACCCGTCTGATGTGGTATAATACAATTTTAGTATTGTAATATTATACAATTAGTATTGTATAAAATGAGACTTCATTTTGTTTCAGGATTCTATGATGACTAAAAAGTTCAAAAGAACAGCATTTACTTGAAATAGAACACTTTTGATCAATTTAATGCATTTTTGCTGGATTTAAAAAAAAATATCTCACTGACACCAGTGTTTGGATGGTAGTTTGTGTATATTAGAGGAATATTGCAATTTTTTAGTGTTTGCATTAAGCAAGACTTGCTAGACAGATTTGCAGGCATCACATGAAATCTTTAGTCTTCAAACACAGCTAACTGTGGCTAAAACTAACACAGATAATGTGAACTTCAAAGGCCACTCTCACAAGTGTTTAGGAGGAAGAGAGCGCAGCTTTCCTAGTGAGAACAGCTGTGGACAAGCAGAATTTAGGAGAGAAGAAAAAAAAAGGCCTTCATCAGAAAGATGGAATGCAGTCAAGGAAAATCAGCATCAAGGATGACATCAGAAGAGAAGAGAGAGACAGTGAGAGATACTTTTTTCCCCCTGCGTTGACAAGTTGAAAGAAAAATTCCATGCATTATTTAACAAGATGGCCGAAACCTGTCATACGGGTGATTGCCTGCGTTAACAGAAACAGGTGTGAGATGTGCGCACATACGGGTGTACGTTAGCACACGTGTGCTTGTTTTTACGTCCGCGTGCGCTTAGCAGGGAAGTCGTGTCTAGTGTACGCACACATTATCTGTTTGCCCATCTTTCCCTGCAAGCATATGGTCAGCATTTTTGGATCTTCACCCGTCCACCCCCTTTCTCTCTCTCTCATCTTGTCTGTTTGAAGTTGCCCTCGTTTTTTTTTTTAGGATGCTGTTTAAATCAGTAGTTTTTTTGCGCAGGCAATGTTTGTGTGTGTGTTTTGGTGACAGCAATCATGTAGAGACACACAAATCTGTTCTAGTTGACTTTTAAAGCATTTCTCACTTGATCAAACAGTCTAGACAAGCTGACCATCTGGTGTTTATTAATTACTAGGATACTAATTACTATAATTAATTACTGGCCAAAATAACTCCAAAGTGAGAAATAGCCATTTTTGTGAGAAAATTTGACCTTGTTTTGACCTTGTCATTGAGGCTCTTTTTCCCCTCATTAAGTGGTAGAACGTGCCGGTCGCGACATTTCTGCGAAGTGATATCATGTATCATCCTATGTTGCTGTAATAACTTTAATAGTAATTTGTGCGCCGAGTGGGTTCCAAACATGGCACACGGCCTTCTTTTAATGGAAATCTATGGGATTTGTGGCCTGTTTCATCATCCACCAGGTTAAAATAATCTGTCTATCTTGAATAACATGCACTTATGAATCACAATAAGGCCAGGAATGTTTATTAAAAAGTTTATATTGTCTTTTTTATTAAGAAACCTTTTATTTCATGGTGACTATTTCTAGACAGATCTGCCATCATATTTCTTACACCATCCTTTCAAAACGTCAGTAATCTAAACCAAAGCTGTTCTAGACATCCACCCAAAGCTGAAAGCTGTTTCTATTTGAGTACTTGACACAAGAGAATATACCGTATGCACGTGTGTGTGTACGTGTACGTGTGCATGTTTGTGTTAGTTTTAGTGTTTGGCAGCACAGCTGCAGCTCTTGTCTGATTGCTCCTGCTTTCCCTCCTCATCCATCTTCATATGTCTGATTACAGTGAATTTGCACCCTCTCACTTACGTTAGAACAGTCCTACAAGATATGTGAGCGTGTGTTGACACTAGTCTTGAGTTCCACGGACGTGCAGATCGTCGCACAGATGGCCGCTCTATTGTACGGTATTTATGTCATGGTGAAGGGCCCAGGTTGCGAAGCTGTCGTGGTGTTGTAATGCAACTGCAGTGTTGTGTTGTGGTGTAATGAGAGAGCTTATTGTTTTTAATCAGGTTATTTTTGTGCGGTCGTGTGAAGACCTTATTGGCTGGAGTATGTGAAAGTCTTAAGGGGACCGACTTCATCCTGCGTTATCATTGATTCCTTTGCCACAATCTGCCACCTAAACACCATCTGCTCTCATGGCACTGACATGAATGCTGATGATAGATTATTTCAGTTCATTGTTACTGCTGGTCCCTGGGCAACATACTATTTATTATTTCTTTATTCACTAAAAATAACATAATATGCACATCTTATAGTATTCTGATCACTTTTTGGGGGGATAACTTTTTTTAACTAAGTTTATCTAATGTATTTCGTATGGTTAAATGTGCACTTAAAGTTCTCCTAAAGCAATGAATAGTACAAATTCCAGTAATATTAGTCACTATCTTGCAGTTATTTTTGGTTTCAAAGTGCGATTAGGCTGTAAAAATAAAATGAATAGGGTATTTCTATAATGACATTACATCCACACCAGTAGGTGTCAGTATAAAGTCTAATGAAACAGTGACTTTAATAAGAACTACTTCTGAATTCTAGTATCTGCTTAGTATATGTATGTGTATATATTTTGTGGATTTGACTATTTCATACTCTTTTGTAATTAAACAGGATGTAGCGCATTGTCATGGGAGAGAGAGAAACATTCATCACCTGCTTCAGAGAAAACACAGCACAGCTTGAACAACTCTCAGCTCAACTCTCTCCAACACACCCATCTACTGGCCAACAGTGAGTATTAACCATTCACTTGCACACCCTGATGTGTTTAAAGGGGTAATTCAACCCAAAACAAAAATTCTGTCAGTATTTTCTTACCCTCATGTCGTTCCAAAACTAGGACTTTTTCTATGTTCAATTAATGGGAAGCTTTCAAGCTTAAAGTGACATGTGAAGCCCAAGTATGGTAACCAATACTCAGAATTTGTCCTCTTAACCCATCTAATATAGTTAACCCATATAATTCATCTTTGCTACAGCTACAAAATTGACTTTCTCTTTGTATTTTGTTGTTTGATTAAAGCCGGGTTCACACTGGGTGATTTTGGCCGTCTGAGACTAATTTTGAGAATACTAAAAGATTCCTCTGATCCTGTTCCAAAATCTGAAGTCTTTGAACGCTAGTTGGGCATGTTCGCCAATTAATGACCATTGCGATAAAATTGCCACAAAATTCTGGCAGTGTCAGAAGATTTGACACACAATGCTGCAGTGTGGCTTCTCCTAAGACAACCGTCAAATGAAAAACCAATAGGAGCGCAGAACCTGATGACACATTTAGCGAGACAACAACAAACCTCACTTGCTGTTTTTGAGAAGACATGATCAAAATTAACGCTAGAGACTGTTTTTGTTTGCTAGCAACCATTTATATCCCGCATGTAAATGCAGCTCACAGTCACTGAACGTGTCACGGATTGATGATGTAAAGCTCGGATAAGTCTTCTTTTTAAATGACTCGGATGAGTCTCGGATGAGTCTCTTTTGATTATGATTTCACTTTTTTAACTTTAGTTAGTGTGTAATGTTGCTGTTTGAGCATAAACAACATCTGCAAAGTCACAACGCTCAAACCCCGCCCCCGGGAACGCGATTTATCATGACAGAATATGCTAATCAATGACTAGAAGATAACTACACATAAGCTACATAAATTCATCAACTAACCATTCAGAAATGTTGTCTATATGTTGTCACTTATTCTTCTTGAGTCTCTCCATCTTTGCCCGACTCTGGTTTGAACATAAAAGGCTAAAAGTTTTTAACATTTTTAGGACACAAGCTGTTGTAGCTCCGCCCTCTGTGCCGGGAGCAGCAGCTCATTTGTATTTAAAGGGACAGGCACAAAAACTGCAGTTTTGCTCACCCTCAAAAAGTGACAATTTTAACATGTTATATAAAAATATCTGTGGGGTAAAATATCTTTTGAGCTAAAACTTCACATACACACTCTGAGGACATCAGAGACTTATTTTACATCTTGTGAAAAGGGCATTATACCACCGCTTTAACACGTCTTGACTGTCGTACGGTCTGACAAACTGAGATCCCAGAGTGTGACGTGGCTTACAGCGAGGATCATGTTCATACAGTCTGACAAGTAACAGTCGTAAAGGACTATTATAAATCGTACAGTGTGCACCCGGCTTAAAATTAATGACACAGACAGCAGCAGGACTATTAGGCTTTTGTCACTTTAAGACTGAATGCACGGATCCAATATAATGATACGCATCTGTTTTCTTTCTCAATTGTTTGTTTACATAAGCCATAAGCAACTGTTTTTAAGAAGATACTCGACGAGACAGGCATTTTGACGTTCAAGCACGAATAAATGTGAAAGAGAATGGAGTTCAGTGCTCCGAATTGAGTTCTTTCGCACCTTCTTGCGCTCGAATGTTTAAACTGACAGTAGCTAAAAATGATAAACTTTCACTCTATCACGGATAAACTTTGCAATTAATCCGAGAATCACGAGCGTTTCGAACCGTGCTACCTGGTCCGTACAGATCAACTACGATCCCGATACTTGACATCGCTCATCCTGTGATGTGCCTATCGCAGATGCGCACATCGCGATATCGATGTTAAAAAGGTATATCGTGCAGCCCTAAAAAGCATAATAAAAGTAGTCCATATGATTAAATTCCAAGTCTAATCTGAAGACATTCAATAGATTTGTGTGATAAGCAGACCTAAATTTATGTAGTTATTCCATGATTCTTTCTTCTTTGCATAGGACTGGACCTGCCCTTCATGATGATGCCCCATCCCCTGCTTCCTGTTGGACTTCCTCCCGCCTCTGTTGCCATGGCTATGAACCAGATGAACCACCTTAATACAATTGCCAACATGGTTGCCAGTGCACAGGTGCACAGCCCCGTCTCCAGGCCGACATCTGCCATCAAGGTAGGACATGCTGTACACACCAGACACTAAAACACACACACATATACTCCAAGAGCTCTTTTGCTGCAAGGTCATCAGGGAATGTTCACACAGTTCTCGCTTGAGTTTATTTATTTTGAGTCACTTGAAGCAATTTGCAGCTTGGACTAAAGGGGTCCAAACTGCTTTAGGAACTTGTGTTGTGTTGCCAAACACATCTTGACTATTAAACTAGCTTCACCACAAAGCTGTATCTGGGAAAAAAGGTTTTATTTTATCACACCTTTACGATGATATGAACCTCAAGCCAATCTGACTCTCTGATGGATTTCAGACAAACTGGGCTGATGAAGATGTGCTGTCATGTAGGGAGAATTTCTATGGGTGTACAATTGTTTACAGGACTGAACTTTTTTTTTTTTTTTTCAGCAAGAGTGTTTTGAAGAGAGTCCCTCTTTGACACCATCCGTTGAGGGAATTGTTCCTCAGAAAACTGAGCCCTCACCTCAACTAAGCAGTTCATTTCCCAGCAGCCCCACACACCCTTACACACACTCTCCTAAAAAAACAGGTGAGTTATTCAGTATGGCTGTCAAATGAATTAATGATATGCTGAGTAATTAATTGTATTTATTATAATTGATCAAACTATCCATCAATATTTGCTGAGTAAATCCCTCAAATGCACAAACACTACCGTTCAAAAGTTGGGGTTGAGTAAATTTTTTGAAGGAAATATGCTTTTATTCAGCAAGTATGCATTAAATGTATCAAAAGTGAGAGTAAATACATTTGTGATGTTGCAAAAGTTTTCTATTTCAAAGAAATGCTGTTCTTTTGAACTTTCTATTCATCAAAGGATCTTGAAAAATAATCATAAATGTTTCTTGATCACCAAATGTACATATTAGAATGATTTCTGAAGGATCATGTGACACTGAAGACTGATGCCACTGAACATTCAGCTTTGCCATCACAGGAATAAATTCCATTTTAAAATATATTAAAATAGAAAACAGTTCTTTTAAATTGTAATGTTATTTCACAACACTACTGTTTTTACTGTGTTTTTGATCAAATAAATGGAGCCTTGGTGAGCATAAGAGACTTCTTTCAAAAACACAAACATTTGAATAATAGTGTAACTTAAAGACATTATTGTGCCATACGAGTAAACAATTGAAAGGACAATAGAGGCAGTAGCATTAGAAGCAATCACAGTGAAACGTTAATTTCATAAGCCTATCACTGGCCTATAGTCCACTTAGAAGATCTTAGTAACTGTACAGAAGTGTACAAAAAAAACCCAGTAAGAATCCTGTAGCAACTGCATGGCAATATGATAAAAAACCACTCAGGACACCTTAGCAAATGCAAATCAGTGCCCTGGGCTGGCAACCATCAACAACACCCTAGCATAGTACCATATATATATATATATATATTATTTTATTTTTTTTGCCCAGAAAATGTAAAAATGTAGTTTCTGAATGTTAGTGGATTTATGGAGACCCAGTTATTGTGGTTAGCATCTTCATCTTGAAGTTTGATATTACTGTTGTTTCATAATATCTTGCGTATAATGTCCATAGTAAACAACATTATATGATTTACATTGAGAGAAAAAAGATGTTACTGTAAACTAATCAACAAGCCTTGCAACAATTCTGGTGCGCACACAATAACAGCACAAAGCAATATGTGTTTGTAATAGTCTGTGCTACTCGGAAACTTCTTGTTTCATTTATCTACTGTCTTTTTGTATTTCTTTCTCTCTCTGCAGCATATGACGTTCATGATGAACAAAGGGAGATAGACTCAGCTCTGCATATGAACAGACTTTCCAACAACAGGGGTGCATTTTCTCAACATAAACAATATTTCATTTAAAATAACAAAATTTCACATAACATTACATAAAAGCCTCTGACCTCCTCTGCTCTCATTATAGTTCAATTATTACACAGAGCCTTTATATTGCATTTAGTTGGGTGATGTAATGGTATATTGTTGGTTGTAAGGGATATTCTAGGTTCTATACACAAGTAATCTCAAAACAATTAAAATAATATGCTCATGCCTTACTACATATCATCCTGTACTGGAAAATATTTAAAAAGCATAAACCTACAGACATATACACTATAGGATCATGTGACACTGAAGACTGGAGTAATGATACTGAAAATTCAGCTTTGCCATCACAGGAATAAATTACATTTTAAATTATATTAAAATGAATAAGTATAATATAGTATTTTAGAATATTACAGTTTTTACTGTATTTTTGATTGAATGCAGCCTTGGTGAGCACAAGAGAAATCATTTAAAAACATTTTTGATATTAAAAACATTTTAAAAAATCTTACCGACCCCAAACTTTTTTGGTCAGTTTTATTATTAATTTAAATATATCTAGTTTTTATTAATTTTTATTTCAGGTTTGATTCAAGTTACATTTGCCTTGGCAGCTAGCTGAAATAAAAGTTTGAAAATTAGAATTTTTATTTATTTTTTTATTTAGTTGTAGTTAACTATAATAACCCAGAGTAAATGCTGACAGTATTAAATTAAAGGCTAAACTATGCCTTTATCAGTCAGCCGATCAGTCGAATTATTTTCTTTGTGTTTATTATTTTGCAGTTGAGCAGAATACAGTGAAGCCAAAATTATTTGAGAATATCCCAGCTCAGACGTTTCCCTCGGGCTTCCCTGCTTCCCTCCTTTTCACAGACGGCCTCTCCTCCGTGGAGACGCTGCTCACTAATGTCCAGGTACAGCCATGAAGGAATACACGCACAGAGAGAGACACACACACACAAAACAATGTTCAACATCAATAACATGTGGACATGTGTTTCAGGGTCTGCTAAAGGTGGCTTTGGAGAACGCCCGTCTGCAGGAGAAACAGCTTCAGCAGGAGAGGCGAGAGCTCAAGATGGAGCTGTACAGAGAGAGAGAGATGAGAGAGAGTCTGGAGAGACAGCTCACCTCTGAGTTACGCAGTCGGGGTAGAGTGTTATGTTGTAATGCATGTATTGGAAAATTGAACAACCAGAGATCATCCGGTTCCATTGGATGTTTACACATGGAACTTTTCCTTTTCTCATCTAGCCACCATTCAGAGGCGTCTGAAGAAGGAGAAGAAGGCAAAGAGGAGGTTACAGGAGGCGCTGGAATATGAGTCCAAGCGGAGAGGGCAAATCGAGCAGGCCTTACAGCAGGCCACCTCATCAGACCCTCTCACACACGGTGAGACACACTCACACACACTCAGTGACTTTCATTCAGGCCGATAGTCTTTCAGCAGGCTTTGTCAGCTGTCGCTGTCTGTTAACACAGATCCAATCAGTCTGGACATGGAGACGGAGCGCTGCAGAAGCCCAGAGGACAACTGCTTGTTACAGGGTATTGAATGGAACTGGCCCCTTTTCATATGTGTTTCTTATTGCAGAACGACATATTTTTATAATATTTTAATAAATATATAGTACAAAAGTTTGGGGTTCAAAAATGTTTGCTTGTGCTCACCAAGGTTGCATTTATTTGATTAAAAAATCAGTAAAAAAAACTGTAATTTTGTGAAATATTAATACAATTTAAAATAACTGTTTTCCATTTTAATATATTTTAAAATGTAAGACATTTCTGTGATAGCAAAGCTGATTTTCCATCATCATTTCTCCAGTCTTCAGGCTCACGTGATCCTTTAGAAATCATTCTAATATGCTGATTATCAATGTTTAAAACAGTTGCGCTGCTTAACATTTTCCAGGATTATTTGATGAATAGAAAGTTCAAAAGAACAGCATTTCTTTAAAATAGAATTAGTTTACAACTATGTCAGTCTTTAGTCACTTTTAATTCATCCTTGCTGAATAACAGTATTCATTTCTTAAAAATAAATTTCAAAAAACGTTTGAACGGTGATGTACATTTTAATGATAAATATGAGCATTCCCCGTATTGACTTTGAAGATAGTGCTAAAATATTTAGTATTTAGATTTTTCCTAGTACAAAAAAACATGGTTATCAACTCACTCCTGTATACAGTGTGTATCTATACGGACGTGCACAGTTTCAGCTGTGGCTTATTCAGATTTGTTGTTTTGACCTCACTTCCCCTTCCCATCAGTCTTTCTCAGCAACACCGTGTGTCACTCGCCCGTGTCCTCCAAACAGATGAGATCATCGGCTCCCTCTGTCTCAGAGCGAAACCATTAGCAAATAAACACATAGATGAATCAAAAGACTGGGGACTAATTGCAAGTTTCCTGTGTAAGCAAAGCCTCACCGCATGAATATTCCAGTGCCGCCCTTCCACCCGTTTATCTGTTTCTGCAGCTGGCCGTTCTCGTTCTCTCCCCCTCTGTGAGACAGCTAAAGCTACATGATAAATTACTTGAATTACACCTCTTGTTAATTTTATTAAAATGGCTCCCTAATGCCGAGAAAATCTGCTACACGTTGGCACAGCACTGGACTGGAGGAGGTGTTCATTTACTGTCTAATGTCTTTTTACATGATGTGCAAAAATGGTCTATTTTAGAGTAAAAGGCCATTTGAAATTGTATATAATATTTCAGAAATACAAGTAAATATTTTATTTTTATTAATTACATTTTTTGTTATTTTTATAATTACATTTGAGTTGTGTTTTAAGCATGTCGGTCATTAGGCCCACCTTAAATTAACTTAAATAAAATTAAGAATTAACATAATGTAACTGAAAAAAATAAATGAACTGAGATATGAACTACGACAACAAAAAACATGCACTACCATTCAAAAGTATGTTTTGAAAGAAGTCAATTCTGCTCACTAAGGATACATTTATTTGATTAAAAAATACAATAAAAACAGTAATATTGTGAAATATTATTACAATTTTTATTTTAATAAATCTAAAATAATTAAGGCAGTTAAGGCAAATTCATTCAAATTCATCATTACTCCAGTCTTCAGTGTCACATGATCCTTCTGAAATCATTCTAATATGCTGATTTAGTGCTCAAGAAACATTTCTGATTATAAACGTTGAAAATAGTTGTGCTGCTTAATAATTATGTGGAAAACAGGATTCATTTTTTCAGGATTCTTTGATGCATAGAAAGTTCAAAAGAACAGGACTTATTTGAAATAAAAATCTTTTGTAACATTAGAAATGTCTTTACTCTCACTTTTGATCAATTTAATGTGTCCTTACTGAACAAAACGTATTATTATTATTATATTATTTAAGTTTAACTAATAAATAATCATTAAATAATATTGAAACAGCAAACACTTTTTGTGGTTTCAGTCTCTCCCCATTACAAATACATAAGAAGAACATAGAAAGCATATTTGTTTTCCAGACTGCTGTGATTTACAAGTTAAACCTGTGGTTTAGTACTCTCAAACCTTCCTCTTGATGTCTCTTTTTTACAGAAAGCAGAACATACACAAAAAACCCAATAATGTACTAAGAGGAGGTGAACTACCAACGAGAGGCCGAGGATGTTCTCCACATCACGGATCATCCCTACACAAAAAACAATCAACTTCCCGAATGCAGTTTCCGGGGAAGAGAGGACTTCAAGGTTTTACATAATGAACTACGTTGGAGAAGGTCTGAAGATTTGACCCACTCGATTGCTCCATCCACTCTTATTCCCATCCTCACAACATTCCAGATTCCTCAACTGTTGTTTTATACATATATTGTGCTTAATTCCCCGTTTAAGCTCTGTGGAGACGGTTGACGTCCTGTTACTTGTTTTGAAGCCGTGACATTATCCCTTTAGGACAGAGACCTTCAGTCTAATGCCCTCAGGATGGGCTGATGTAAAAAAAACATGAGGGAATGAGAAGGAAAAGAGATGAATCTGGCTTGTTTCATTCTTGTTGAAAGACTCTGAAGAGTGTGGAATGTTACATTGTGTTGCTTTTCTCTTGTTTGTCCATCTTCTTGTTCTTCTGTCCATTTATCTCTCTTTTGTAGGCCAGTTTAGCTTCTTGATACTGTTTAAAATGTTCACCAGCTCTTCAGTTTGTGATAGTTTTCGCGTTAACTATTTGATTGGCTTTCAGTCAGAAGGAAAAGCTACTGAATGTGTTTATTCTGTATTTTGAATCTTTCCTAATGAGAAATACAGTATTACCACCATGTCATTCATTCAAAAGTCTCGAAACGTCTCCCTGAACGTTTTGCCCAGGTTTGTTGAAACCTGTGGTTCCCATGCATTTACAGAGATTTGATTCACTAACCATTTTAGCATAGGCTAAAACTAGACACCGCAGAGGATATTTGGCATTTTCCCCAACATTCAAATCTTTATTTAGTCTGAGTGTTGCTTAAAGAGGAAAACAGACTTCCCGCAGAACAGAAGTTCCCTGCTGCTGTTGTCAGGACGAGCCTTGAGCCATCATTCCTATAGGCATTTGAATGCTAAATGATGTCTTGAAAGGTGTAGATCGATGTCTGTCACCGTTTTGTGCACCAGAAAGAACCGACGACACAAATAAACAATGCGATGCTCATGTCACCGGTGTCACCTTGTCGTCAATAGCGTTCCTCATGAAGCAAAAGCCATCAAACAGTCCTATTGATTCAGGTCATGCAAATGAGACCCCATTAGTGCCTTTATTGACACATATCAAAGTCCTCATTAACATTCAGTTTGTGATCCGGCATTTCAGACACAAGCTAAAGTGTCATTAAAGTGTGTGTCCTGTACTCATGAGTCTAAAGGGACCCTTGAAAGCACCAATTTCCTTTTCCAAACAAGGATATCATGACTCAAAGTACAGTACTGCAACGTGGAGTTGTAATATTTTTCTTTTGCATACTTTAGGAATATCACCCGAGACCATAAATCTGTGGGGACCATAAATAGATTTGAAAACAATTTACTCTGATTTAGAATTGCACTCTAAAAATGGGAGATGACCATTTGGGAACGTGGGAAATGTTCGGTTTAAAAACTACAGCTAGCGAAAGATAGAGGCGGAAGATAAACATATGTGTTTAGGATACAGAAATGGCATGATTGTTTTGGGAGAAATATATCAGTACTGTTGCATTTATTTGTGTATTCAGTCAATTTCAGCATCGTGGAAAATATGTTATTTTAGTTATACACAAGTTTTGAGTCCCTATGTAGAAGGAAATTACATACAGGATATTGATCACTGACTAAGTAGGCTGGAAACAAAAAAATAAACAATAAAAACGAAACCTCATGTATGAAGAACATGGTCACTGAAAAAAAATGGCTTTGAAACTATTTTCACTCAGAAATTGCTAGAATAGTTTACAAATAAATACAAAGAAATGGCAAGTAACAGGTAATTAAATATGGAAATTTGAAGTAGTTGCATATTCTTGTAAAACGTACTCTGCTGTGTGAAAAAATGGTGTGGTTTTTTTTTCAAAGTTTTAACAAACCAATTTATGGCATTTATTATTTTCTTCAAAACAATTATCCAAGCTGTGGGGCGTTTTTCAATTCCCTCGAGCCAGATAAAAAACATGTGCCTGATAAGTCATATTGTTCCCAGGATGCACTGAGGGTGGCTGCTGTTTTCTCAGGGTGGTACGACTATGACTATAGATAGTCAGAGGCACTGATTAAACGATTTACCCATAATACTGCAAACAGAAACATGAGTTTATTTTGTTACTCATGAAAAAGGCAGCCCAGATATTATTTTTTATGCGATTTGAAGTTAGTTATAGAACCATTTCATGCACCACAGCCTTCAAATAAAGATAGACATTGTGAAGAAAGCACTTAAGTAAGACATGAAAAAATGTTTGTTTAACTAGATTAACCATATTAGGGCACACTGGGATGGAAAGGGAGGAGACGCTTTGAAAGGAAATTATTAAATCGTGATTAAGTCATTGAACCCTGAACAACTTTTCTCTTGACATCGAAAGAGAGCAGAGGATATTTTTCTTCATTTAAAGTGACCAACGTTCTAATCGTTTGACTTCCACCATATAGAAGAATGAGAATGTTTCTTTAAATGTATGACTGTGTTAATACAAGGAAAAAATAATTGATATATGTATAGACCTACACTATGTTGCAAAAGTTCTTTGAGATTTTTTAGTTCCTTATGCTCACCAAGGCTGCATTTTTGGGTTAAAAAATATAGTGAAATATGATTTAAAATAACTGTCATTTTTTAAAAACTTTTTATCATTAACTTTTTTTCTATTGTAATATATTATAAAATGTTATTTATTCATGTGATGGCAAAGCTGAATTTTAAGAATCTTCAGTGTCACATGATCCTTCAGAAATCATTCTAATATGCTGATTTGGTGTTCAAGTATGACATTTTTTTATTATTATCAATGTTGAAATGTTGTGCCGCTTGATAATTTTGTGAAAACCGATCATTTTTTTAGTGACTTTACTGTTATTTTTCATCAGTTTGATGCATCATGCTGAATAAAAGTATTAATAAAAAAAAACCCAATATATATATACCATTCAACAAAAAATAATCCATTAATACTATACTAAATTAATCCTGTATTTTTTAATTAATATATAGCCTACATAATTAATTAGCCTACTGTCCACACCCATATTATTAACAACTAATAATCTTCACTCCACCAACAGGGTTAAAAAAAAACAGGCCCAATTCTTTCAAATTAAATGTTAATCACCATGGTAAACTGGAAACCATGCAGGATATGATTTCACTGACAAAAACAAAATAAAAACAAAAAAAGGCCCACCGAAGAGATATTCATATTCTTGCTCACACATACTGTCTCTGGTGTAATATACAAGGTGATTGCAATGTAAAAGATCAATATTTCAATTTCAGACTGCATTTTTATTCTCAGAGATTAGAGAACAATCAAATACTAGATTTTCTCCATCTGCCGAAGGAAGAATCTCCCGGCCTTACTGATAGCAAAATGAAAAGGTTTTAGCCTGGGTGCAAGATGTTTGTTTTTGTGAATTATTCATTGAGATGTGTTTGTGCAAGTGAATAGCCATTTTCTCCAATACTGAAGGGCAAATAATACAGATTGCTCAAACATAACAGAAGGAATTTGACATTGAGAAGTGGAAATGCGGACAAAGGCTTCAGGGTCACTTACTGATAAACAGTCCTTGTAACAAACGGAGCGACACTGAAGCTTGTTTATTACAACAATTCTTACATCTGTCTTAAGAGATTTGATAGATTTGTAGGATGTTGATTGTACACATTTCTAAGAAAGGGGGAGGGGGAGGGGGAGGGTGGGCAAATCACCGGTAATATAAATCACCGGTAATATAAAATAATTTCCGTGTCTGTTGTTTTTGCTCAAGGTTAACTTTGCTACTAGAGCACAAGTTTATAACAAATAAGAAGGACAAAGCTACATTCCAAAGTCGGTATGTCAAACGGAAGTAACGATATTGTGACATATCCGAGTTAAAAGACTTCTCGAACAAGAACAAAATATTTTCTATTGATTTTGTCCATGTGAAAATAGATGGGATCGTTGTGGTTTGACAAGTTGTGATAGACACACACACGTTGGGTTTCCGTGTTTTATGGGGACTTTCGAGACAAAGCAAAGGATTTTTATACGGTACAAACTGTATGCACAAACACAACCCTCACAGAAAAGTTTCTGCATTTTTACATTTTCAAAAAAACATAATATAATTTTCCTCATGGGGGAGACAGGGATATCTTCAGGTCGGAGTAATGGGCGTGTCGAAAGGTGACTTCCTAAACAGAAACTGACCCCACATCCTGACAGACAGCTTTCGCGACCAATGATAAAGACCGTTCTACACGCGCCTACCTTTCGGCACGCCCATTAGTCCAATCTGCAGATACCCACACTTGGTGAAATATTCTGCTATTACTATACTTGAGGGACATTCGGTCCCCATAAAGTCGTAGGGAATACCATGATCTCTCTTCTCACACACTCGGACAAGACACACACTCGTTGAATGCGAACCTGATAGTTCTGTTACAACAAACCACAAGGAAACTATTCAGAATATCGTAGTAACACATTCCCACAAAACTATAAAAGCAAGGATTTGTTTTCTTCTTGGCGTTACCACCCCCTTGTGGTAAAGGCTGCAAACCAACTGCCTAAAACATTTTCTTCTGACATATTTAAATAATAATAATACTAAACTAATAATAATTCAACCCAACAGTTGCTTGTTGTTGGTTTCTTTTTTATTTATCAGTCATCTACAACTCAATGAGCTGGTCCCAAGAAATACAAACCGGCACATGTTCCTCCCGTTACAACATTTGCATATCCAGTTCAATCTCAGGTCAATAACTTTCATACAGTCCACATCGCACTCCAAACAACACTAATCTGAAGACATACAAACACCTGCAGGAGCTCACACACACACACACACACATATTCCTACATACATACATACAGCTTTTGGAAATAGCCTGATATCAGCCTGATATATAAACAGTTGAAGTAAACAATACCATACAGAAAAGTATTAAGAAAAAATTAGGTCAACCATTTCCTGTAAGTGACATCACATACACTGCAAACACAAAAACAAATATGGACAGATCAAGCAAAAATGGTACAACCATATTTGGATTTTAAAAACGAAAGAAAGAAAAAAGGCCCCTACTTTCTCAGGGTTACATCTGCATTACTGAAATGAGAGATGTGGGAAATTAAGAGGTGCCAAGTTCAGACTGTTCCATCTAAAAAATTTAATAATAAAAAAGGAAATTTTGGGGGAGAAAAATATACCATCACATTTTATGGACATGTTGAATCACAAAAAACAAAACATATTTGTTGCATCACACAAAATGTTTTCATAAAAATATTATCCTATACAAAAAAATAGTCAAATTTAACATTTTGCACCACCTAATCCTGGCTATTAATACTGAAAAAAGATCCAATAATGTATTTTCTTATTTGGAATCTAAAAGGGATCAACAATGATGAAAATTAATGGCAAGTAAAAGTAACAGTGGTTAAAAGACTAAATTGATAACCTATAAGCTAAACTAAATTTTAGGAAAGAAACATGAGTGAGAGGAATAGAAATGAGAACCATGAGAAGGATCTCCAGAATCCATTCCAAGAGCTTGCCAGCTTCATTGATTCAAAACACTTCCTATTTTAGCATGTTATCAATGTCACCAACATGTACCAGCATGAGAACAAACACAAGCAAACGTTTAAATCCAAGCTCTGATTTGATTGGTCTACAGTAGCTGCCATTTTTGGATCTGAAATGGCGTTTGATTTTAGCATCTTCCAGTTCATGCAACATTCAAGTGACATGTTCTGTCTGATCTAGAAAGAGGACCTCGATATTACCTCCTTCTCATGGACTTAAAACTCAACGTACATCTTGGTATCAGTTGTAATTTTAGATGTCAAGCGTCAGAAAACAAACAAACAAAAAAGGCAAAGAACTATATCAGAGTTCAGTTTTCTCCTGATTAAGAGGAACTTTCTTCTGAATCTCCTCCTCATCTGAGGTGTATCCAGCTTCTTCGGTTTTCCGCTTTTTGGTGTTGTGAAGCTTGGACTTTTCCTTCTTCTTCTTCTTCTTCTTCACCTTCTTTTCCTTTTTCTGCCCATCCTCGCTGTCTTTACCCTTCTTCTTTTTGCCCTTCTTTTTCTTCTTGTCCTCTGCGATAGCTGCCGTGTCTCCCTTTCTCCCAGCCCATGTCTCTTTAAGACAGTCTGCAGAGAGAAGCACGTGTTTGCACAGTTCCGATCTTTATACCGACTGCCAGCACTGTTATTAGCAACAAGTGATCAAATCAGAGCTTTGTGTTCGGGAAGTGATGTCTTTTTCTGGCAGATCTATATTGGTTGCTATAGCAATGACATGAGAGCCAGCACAATGCCAAATTAATCATTTATCTTCTATAACAGGAAGCAACAAGCGGGTGATATGAAGACAGACAGCTAAAAAATTGTATTCGGACCACAACTGTATAAATGACGATTAAAAGGGATAGTCTACCCAAAAATGAAAATTCTGTCACAATTTACTCATCCAAAGAAGATCCAACTCATGTTGTTTCAAAGAAGACATTTATAAGAATGTTGGTAACCAAACAGTTTTGTTCCCATTGTCTTCCATTGTATGCACAAAAAATACAATGAAAGTCAATGGGAACCAAAACTGTTTGGTTACCAACATTCTTCAAAATATTTTTTTGTTCATGTTCCACGGAAGACAGAAAGTCATACAGGTTTGGAACAACATGTGGGCGAGTAAATTATGATATCATTTTTGGGTGAACTATCCCTTTAATGCATCTTTGCAAGTATTTCTTTCAAAAAATATATTTTTTTTAAAGCCTTGTCCATTTAGTTGTACAACCAGAGGCGCACAGGACACCAGCTGAAGCTGCTATATGCTTTAGGGTACGTCATTTACTATTTCTGCTCCTGTGGCCTTGAGTAACTGTCTGATTCTTCCCAAAAACAACGGCTCTTAAAAGCGGTGCCGATAAAGGAGATCAAGAGTTTTAGTCATAATATTATGTCTAGTGCAGTTTAACTGTTAAGTGGGTATATGTGATGAAGTAAAACAGCTGTTAGTTTCACATTACCAGCGTCTTGTCCTTTCAGCACATGTTTTTCACACAGGTAAGTGGTGAGATCTTCCTCCTGGCTGCCTTTATACCAGTCTTCGATGACTTCTTCATACTGCTCTACCATCACATCACACTGAGGGAAGAAAACACATCTCTTACTGGGGCATATCAGATCTCTCATTTACCTGGATATATACTGCAAACATGTATTTACACAGATTGTTTTGTACACTTAACCACTAATATAATACAATATGCATACATACAATCCGAAGACATCAGAAATGTATACAATATACAAAGAATATAAAAGAGTTTATCTTTTTTAATCAATTTGTTTATCTTAGGAGTAAAGGACAGCATAACAGTTTGGAGCAGTATTATAAAGAAATGTATATAAACATACATACAGTATAAATGTATATATGTATATATATATACTCATTTATATATACATATACATTTATACTGTATGTATGTATATGGGAGTATGTGTATATGGGAGTGTGTGTATATATATATATATATATATACACACACACACTCCCATATACTGTATATATGGGTCAAAACACACACAACTGGTCTCAGCTTGATGATAACATGGACAATTAGGTCTCGGCTTGTTTTGTTTTGTGTTGTTTTTTTTGTGTTTTGTTTTGATCCATATACACAATGTTTTGAAAGAAGTCTCTTGCTCACCAAGGCGGCATTTAAAAAAAAAAATACAGTAAAATATTATTACAACAATTTAAGATAATTATTATTGATGCTCAAGAAACATTTCTAATTATCATCAATGTTGAAAACAGTTGTGCTGCTTAAATGTTTGTGGAAACTGTGATCAATTTTTCAGGATTGTTTGATGAATATAAAGTTCAAAATAACAGCATTTATTTAAAATAGAAACTTTTGTTACTTTAGAAATGTCTTTATTGCCGCTTTAAGATCAATTTAATTCAACCTTTCTGAATAAAAGTATTCATAATAAAAAAAACTTTTGTACAGTAATGTACTTAGTGTATATATATAAAAAATAAGATTTTCAGCAGAAATCACATTAATGGCAAAATTAAATCCACTGAAAAACCCTAATTATTACGATCTCTGTCACTCGCACACCTGTTTTTTGAGGTCAGCCACTTCTGCACTGGTCTCATTCCACAGTTCAAAGGGAATGTCCATGACCACCTTCACGCCTTTATTAACCAGGTTATGTAAGGTAGAGAATGTCTCAGACATACCCTGAGCAGAGAAAGAGAAATGATCAGATCTCACCAGCTATAATACAGTTTGACACATCACAGCATTCATATTACAGTAAAACAATTCACAATCTCAACATCACATACTGTACATCTAGATTATCAATTAAAGAAACCTTTTGAGTTGACACAACATTGATGGCATTCATGATATGAAATGTGATCATTTATCATTGGCACTGCAATTTGGTGCATTCAATTTTCATTCAAAACTTTTTACTCTACAATTAAGTCTTGAGTCACTCAAGAGTGTTCAACAGATGTTAATTATTTAGTAAGAGCACTAAAGTTGTGGTGCAAAAACAAAGGTGGTAGAAGAGGATGTAGTAGCCGACCTTTGCGAAGCGATTGCTGCCATCTCTCTCTTTGTGTAGATTGTACTGCATAATCCTTGAGCAAACGTTCTCCATCACCTCTATGAAACGAATATCACTGAAAAGCAAAAGACAGCAGTAGATGTTGCTCAACTCTAAATCTAAATACAGTATGCACATGTCCACTAGACCAGATGCCTCATTATTTAGCTTAAGATCATGGTTTGCATTAAAAACACTTACGATTTGACATATTTGATTGGCGGTGAACCTTTATCATCCAGGAAACGGTAGTTGGTTTCAATCACTTCTTTTGTTTTGCCAGTCTCTTCAAATGCAGACTTCATCTCAATACTCACAAATTTGCACACTATACAAACATATAGACCACATTCAGATTTAGAAGACCGAAGAGGAACAGAAAGCTGCTGCGTCTCAAAACCTAGTGCACTGCCTACATAGACTGCACTGTTGGTCATAATAGGCCTATTCAAACGTTTCATGCAGTCTAGGTAGGCAGCACACTAGGTTTTGAGACACCAAGTAAGTTACATTGAAAAGGGTAATATGTTGCTTAATACCAATACTTTAAATTATTTATGATAATTATTAGAATTCATTCATCATTAGAAATGTATAGTACACTATACCACATATAGTAAGACAGGTAAAATAAATAATGTGGAATATCAATTAGTTCAATGTTCAGACAGTTTACCGTTTTTAGAAATTTAAATGATTCAAGTGATCTCTTTCGATTTAAAGCTGCTATGAAACAAAAAACTAAGTAGACTGCTATTGATATACATGAACCTCTGAAATGAGTCTGAAACAGATCTTAGACCTCTTATATTATGTAAAATATGTGTGTGTGATTGTATTCAAGCTTGATTTGATCAAGTATTGAAAACTGGTGTAGAAATGCACAAAACGTCATGATGCATTTAAAATCAACATATTGATTAATTATAAATAAGGACAGTTTACCTTCACATTTATCTGGCAGATGCACCCACTCATCGTCCCCGCTTTTTTTAGCAGCTGCGGCACTTACGAGAAATAACACGACGCAGGTAAATACATTCATTTTTGTTAGTGGGAAATATTTACAATGAGCAATACTAAAATACCGGACATGGTTATTTATCTAGCCGCTATTTCCAATGCAGCTTTCACTTCCGCTGTGGCAGGTTGACGCAGACACTGAACCGAGTGGACCAATCACGGACGCCGAAGTGGCATGAGCGAGCCAATGAAAACCGTGGGCGGGGACGACGATAAGTATTCTTGCATGAGAGTTGTTTATGACAGAATGTCTTGACGTTTTTTAACAGTAAGTTAAATTTAAAGAAACAAAGAAATTGTACGTTTTCTTAAATGCGGTAGAAATTCCTCTTATGCAGGTCAGGTTCTAGATTCTAGAACAATACAACTAAACAAAAATCTAATCTAAATTAAACTACCAGAGTATTTGTGCAATGGGTGTACGCAACCACTAGAGGGTATCGCACTCCACATAATTAGATTTTCCACAGGAACAAAAATTGCACTCATAAATTAGCATGTCATGTGTTTGCAGTGTTTACTAATCTTACCCCTGCTAAAGACCCTTAGGAACATTTTCTCTGTCATTTACAAAGTGTGTCCCTCATTTTCAGAGGATGTCAGTTTCGTTTTTCCTATTCCGCCTACAAAGTTCGTGGTAATACTAATAAATGTGTACTAATAAAATGTTCTCATTTAAGGGCATTGTCTTGCCTTTATACAATAAACATTTTTAGTATTGTGTTGGGTGGCCTTGATGTCTAACGAAAAAAATAAAATAAAAAATAGTGTCCAAAGTGAGTTAATAACCTGTCCTGCATTCATTTTACATGCATACATTTTTTATACATGCATGTTGCACGTGCAAAGTCCAGCTTGATTTAACACATTAAAACTCGGTGACTGAATGTGCTGATTAATAAAAGGTAATTAAAATGCAAGGCAAGACATCACATCTGAATTTGCAGTGCCAATTTGACACAACTACTGTACTGTGGTGTTTGCATGGATCCCTCAGGAAAGTATTGCATATTTGCATTGTATAGGTACTTGTTTTGTTAATACCAAAACTTTGTTCTCAATTTACTGTAGGCATATAGGCTACATCTTAGAGCCAGCAAAAAGCAGAGCACATATCGACATTTATATCTTGTCAGGAAATGGCAAGAAACCAAAGACATCACCAGGGTTATTTAGCTTTATTGAATCTGCATATTCGGCATTCCCTTGAGTTCAGTTTCTGGCTGTCAGAACTACTTTTTATCTTCATCGTATGTTCACACATTTCCAAGGAAAAGTAGAAACTCGTAAGAATCATACAAGAGTAGCATGTATTTCATTCAAGTGTTTACATAAGCATTTACAGCGCCTTGGCAAAAGTAATCAGGCCTTGACCAATTCTGTCATGTTACTGGATTACACAGTCCCACATTGCAGTTGTGCCCATTTCAAAGCACCCAAAATCATGTGACATTGTTTAGTTACATTTAATCCCAACATTGTCATATTTTGGAACCTTTTTATGACAGCATCACTCAGAAATGTTTAAATAGTTTTTTTTTTTTAAATTTAAATCTATTTCATACCATTAAATATCACATCATCCAATACTCTGCAAACTGCAAATTTTTAGATAATTTCTGCCCCAAAACCAACTTTTATTCCTATTTTCCAACATAAAACAATGACAAATTAAAATAACTTCTAAATACAAGTATGAGTAATGTCATATTTATAACTCAGTAAAGTATCAGAGCTGGTTAAATGACTGAATATTTTTGCAAGGCACTGTACATGGTTCATCAGCATTCATCATCGCAGAGCAGGGGGATGTCTTATTCGATGCATCTCCCCCATACCTGATTATAATAATATACTAATTAATATTCACATACAGTAAAAAGTAAGCAGTCAAAGAAAAGAAAAAAACAGCTCCAAAAACATTATAATAGTATAATCTATAAATAATGTCTGTCTATACTAAAACAGTCTTGAAATTAAATCATTTGTACATGCTATTCAAAATACAAAAATAAGATTTCAGTCATGTTAGATTCTAGCATAACTTCAGCCCTCCGGGTGCATAACACAAGTAACGTCACACTATGATGTGCACGTATCATAGCACTAAAGTGAGAAACCTTCACCGGGTGAGTGCCAGCGGCTCACTGATCAGTTACTGAGATTCAATCCTGTTCCACCAAGAGCATCATGTCCTTAAACGTTCACTGTAAGTCCATATCAGATGTGTTTCTTGCTCAAGTACACTTTCCAATGAGAACTTTCTATGAAAATGAAATACATGAACTGACAATGCTTCCAGTGCACATTGCTGATATAGTGTATTGACTGGTGTGGTTTAGGGTTTACATCAACATGAAATGGCACACGAAAAAAATTATTCTTATGTAATGTGACATTTTTTGAGTGAAATAGGATATTCAATGTTAAAAAAAAATGAGTGTGGGACTCAAGTCCACCATTCCCAAAAGTATCCCATTAGTAACGCTTTGCAAATCAATCAATTATGTGATGTTATTGGCGTAAATTTCTTTCAATTTTAACTTTAACCGACATTAAATTGATGCTCTAACAATTTGATAAAAAGATGTTAGAACATCTAATTCATAGCCTGCACAGTCTACGTGACATCAACCAAAAAGACAAGTCGTTTTAGTGGCGGAGCAGGTTATTACAATTTGATTTATAATATTTTTATCTTTGGAATAACATGCATTGATGCATCACACACAATACAACCAGAAAAATTGATTAAGAAAATAAATAGTAAATTTTGATTTCAAGTTGACTTTTAGGTTCACCCAAAATCTTAACCCTCATGTTGTGTTCGGGTCATTTTGACCTGGAGAGGATTTTCTTTCCCCAAAAATGTGAGTTAATGTTGTCACGTTAGAATAAAACTTACTGACTTCATTCACACAGGGTATTACTACTTCCCAATTTTTGGGGGATAATGTTTGTACTTTTTTGGAGATTTTTTTCCCCCCACCCTGTTACACTTGTGGTATTACACTTGTACAAAATGGAACAAAGCCACACTTGTGGTGTTCCCGGTCAAAAATGGCCGGCATACAAAAAATAGCTTATAAATCTATCGTTATGCTATATTATCACCAAATATTGGATTCAATCTTTTTCTCAACTTGATTTCTTTCAATTAGGACAGGTTTTGTATTTATTTTTGAAACTGACTGATTTTCGGGTGAAATATCCCTTTAATGATATGACGCAATGAAGACGCAAAAATGAGTCCTGGGTCAAAAATGAGTTTGTCTGCTTTGCTGATTATGGCACTTTTCTGTCCCTTTCTGAATCTCTGTCATCCACCATTTTATTTACTCACCCCATCTGTCTTGTAAATGACTTTCGATTTGGTTAAATCTCAGAGAGAAATGAAAAATATTGCAGCAGCAAACAAAAGAACAAAGAAGAATCGGTTGTTGTTAAGGTAATAGTTATTGATATCATCACTGATTATTGTTATTATCAAAGTGCTGTACAGTATAGACTAGCAATACTATAGCTGTGTGGTCACCGAATCGTCCTGTTCCGTTACCCAGCGGGACGAGTCTGGCGTTCGTCCGCCGCAGGGCCCGACCAACCCCTGGAACACGTCCTCGTTTGAGTCCAGGAGGCGGGAGCTGGAGGCGGAGAAACTGGAAGCACAGTGCAGGGAAGAAGGTGGACACAGAGGTCCTAGTGTCAGTAAAACATCCCTCCCGTTAGCTCTCTGTCTGGTTGGCATTGCAACACTGTCGCCCTCATTTAAAGCGGCCACGTCCACCTGATTAAGGTTGGTCTCGCTGCGGGTGACCGGACCATCGCCTCTGGTGAAGCCCAAGTCCTGCCAGGCTCCCGGCGGGTGAAGCAATCCATCTGAGATAGTGTATGTTGCAGCAGTGACACCTGCGGCCTGCGGCATGTGGCTGCCCATGCGTGAGAACAGCAGCCCGAGTCGTCTGAAGGAGTTCTTCTTGGAACTAGAGAAGCGTGAAAAGCGCCTCCAAGTCCGTGAAAGTGCAGGTCTTGCTGGAGCCACTGAGGACAGGGAAGAGGAGGGCGAGGGATTCTTCCTCAGTCCGTTGATCTTTGGTTTACCTTCCCTGTACGCAGACGACGATGCTGCCGCCGTCGTCTCCGTCGCGGAGGCCTCCATTCCGGAGATGGAGCGGAAAAGGGCGGAGACTCCGTACGACGGATCTGAAGGCGTAATGGTTTTGAAAGAGACGCCTTTGGCCCCGATGCTGCTCCCGTCGCTGTGGTAACAGGCCTCGCCATCGTCGCTGGCCTCGTCTCGAAGCGTGGCCTCGCTGCTCGAGGAATAGTTCCGCCGGGGCGGCTTTCGGTTGCCGAGAAGGTCCAAAACTTCGTAGCGAAAGCTGGAAATGTCCTGTTTCAGCTCCTACAGCAGAGTATTACAGAATTACATGATGCATTCGAAAAATATCCTCATTTTAGCACAACAGAATCCAAGATTCTAACACGATGCAAGACAAAAGTAAATCAATACTAGTCCGAACATATTCAATGTTACTATTCTGATGAACTGTTTTTAGAAACCAGATTTCACCGTGGGTCGAGGAAGAAAACTAAAATTAAGGCACTGTCATGGATTCATTTCTTTATGACTTAAGGTGCAATTAATGGATGAAAATATCCTGTATGTATATCATTGTAAAAAAAAAACATCTGTGAAATTTATGGTAGAAAATGGCAGCTGTGGTCGGCAGAACTTTACTGTAAAAAGACTTTTTAAGCAACATTTTAAGTTTTACAGATTAAACTTAAATTTACTGTAAATTTCATTAACTGATATAATGTTAATGGCAACACTTTAGTTTGAGGAACACATATTCACCATTAACTATGACTTTTGCCTCCACAAACTCCTAATTTACTGCTTAATAATAGTTAGTAAGGTAGTTGTTGTAGTGGTTAAGTTTAGGTATTGGGTAGGATAAAGGGATGTAGAATATGGTAATGCAGAATAAGGCATTAATATGTGCTTTATAAGTGCTAATAAACACCCAATTTGCAAGTAATATGCAAGCTAATAAGCAAAAAGTTAAAGGTTAATATACCAAAGTACTCAAATCTGTCTTGTATCTCTATAAGACAACCACCTTAGAAATAGAGAAAA